CATTAATGCTGTGCCTTAAAACATGCTGCTTCCTAAGCAATGCAAATGCGAACGTCTGGTTAAATTCATTCCATTTGTTTTGTGTGGGTGTATGTGTACGTTCGATTGGCATAATATGTATTATAACTGAAATCGATAAAACACAATTTGCTGCATACAAATAATGAGAGACTGGATTCATTAATTCAATACGTAAAACGATTGTTACATTTAATAAACAAACAAAATCTGAGCATCAAACGGAACGGAAGAACGGTGTTTCAGAGATGTATAAAAATCAAATGTCAGTGGTGGACAACTAAAACATGAAACCAAATTGACGATTGCAAATCTGTGTACTCGGACTGCAATCACAGACAAATGATAATGAGACTACCGAATGGCAACAATGTCGAAAAACAGATTACTTACTTTTTTCTGTTTTATGCATGAGTCATAAAATTGGTTTTATGAAAATCCAATGGAATGGTTTTGATGGTAATTTTATGTGTTTGTTTGGTTCGATTCGGTTCAGTTTTGAATTGTTATTCATGTTTGTTTGTTTGAGGGGTTTTGGTTTTTGTATATGGATTGATTATTTTGTTTGTTCGGGAGGAGAAAATTGGAATGAGAACAACAAATCATTAGTTTCGGTTTATTGTCGGTTCAATTGAAAATGACTCGGATTTCAATTGACTTATGAATGGGAAATGCTTTAAAGGCTTTTTATTATGTTAATGCTTTCGGTTATGATTAAGTCAGAAAAAAAGAAATGAATTTGGGGGGAACCAATGAATTTTCAACTTACCGTGACCACTCCTTGTCTGGTGTACTTGGTGGATGCAACGTATGAATATTTCACCGTCAACACGACTGCATTCATCAAATTCTTGGCCGCTTGAATCAACGAAGTTGCACTGTCCAACTGCAAGTATCGAATAAAATTTAGTGTTTTAAAAGGATCCATTTGGAAAAAAACTGTTGAGGAAAATCATTTGTTTCTTCTTTTTTTTTTTTTTAAACATTGATTAAAATACTTACGCCTGATACAATCAATTCACCGCTAATATTTTGCACATCGGCTTTGACTTTCGATGTGATTTGAATTTGATGGCAATACAATGCGATGCGCTGTAGGTATGCCAATAAATCTTTCTTTGTACTGCTCTCAGGACATTGGTCGGCAATCTCTCGTGTCAATTTATCCAATTTATTGCCGGCTTCTGAAATCTTTTTGGCCGCATTTATGACATCCATTGTGGTTTTCAATGGGCCTCGACCACTGAACACACAAGAAAATGAGCAAATTTTGTCAATTAAACGATTTTAACTTAAATTTTGAATTGAAATGATCGAGCAATTAGTGTACATACCGTGTGAAATCTGTCATTTCCATCATAATCATGCACATGTGCTTGGCCAAGAAGATGATGTCATTACCGTTATCGTCCCATTTAGCCACTTCCGAATCGAAGGTCATCTTCTCTTTTCGGAATAACTCAACCTGTTGAGCAATCTTTTGTTTATCTTCTTCCGTCATCTTACGCATAGCTTCACGAGCTGTTGTAATGCCACTAATATCGGGATATTCATCGACAGTACCTTCACCAGTGTGTACGCTTGCTGCATTGTGCACAAATGGAATTTATGACAGGATAAGATTATTGACATTTTTTTTTCATAAATTTATTTTCATTGAAATGGTTAAAATTTGGATTACTAAATCAAAATCATTGTCAAACACTAAAAAAATTAGTTTAGAAGTAGAAAAAAACAAATTCAAATGAAAACCCAACTCTGTATTGATATAAAATAATAATGAAAAATAAATGAATTACATCGGCTACGAGTCTCCATTGTTTGATCTTCAACCGGTTCGAATTCGGTGTCGGTATCCAAATCTTCGGAATTCTATCGGTTGAATGACCAGACGAAAAGCGCAAACAAAATCCAAGCAAAGTCATCAAAATCAAAATAGTCAAAACACACACAAATTGCACAGGCACAAACGGACAAAGCGACGAACACAAAATATAAAAATAAAAAACCAAACAAAAAAAACGACACAATTAATTATCGGTTCATTGAGCATAATCTTACATTTGCTTCTGGTTTCAATAGTATAATGTTCATCGAGTTCAACATCTTCCGGATCTAACTCTTCCTCCTCCTTTTGTTTGCAATTGTAATTTAAATTAACAAACCATTGGTTATATCAGAAACCAATCACAGGTAAAAAGGAAATCGGAGTGAACAATGCTAACTGAATGAAAAATTCTTACCCGATTCATGAGAACAGCTCGTCGAATCTCACGGACACCATCATAGACCAAGCGCGATGCATCGATGAAATCGTTGTCATCTACATCTTTTGGTGGGTTTGAGGACAGAGCATCGACTGCTATGTCAACGCGCTGAGCAAACTTCGACATAACTGCATGAAAAATTGAAAAAAAAGCAAACAATAAATCAATAAAAACGAAATCCAAGTTGAACTAAATTCATTTTCAAAACTGCTTAAGAGATGAAAACAAAAAATGATTTTCAGAACAAACAAAAGATGAATAGAATATTTTACCTTGTTCGCGTAAAACTTTGACGGCTTCAAGAACTCGTTTCGTGTAGATGCATGGTTCATAATTGTCCATTTCGGCTTCAACAACGTTGCAAACACGTTGAGAACGGCCTTGAATGGCTCCAGCCGTGTTGCGTAGCTCTTGAGCATCACCCTCCTGCAGTGCAAACATGCACTTTTTGGCATCTTCCAAAATGTGATTCTCGGACACGGCCAAGAAATCATCAATGGTTGTAATGTCATCAACGGCTTCCGTTAAAATGCGTACTTGATTCTCCCATGCCTGTCGATAGGCTTCCATGTTCTCTTGTGCAACTTTTGAATTTGGTCGCACGGCCAAAATCATAGCGGCATTTATGACTTGTGGGCAAAGATTTTCGATTTGAGCAGCTGCATATCGAACCATTTTGACGCCGTCTTCATTGTTCGACATACTGCACACCAAATTGGCCACTTCAATCAATTTCTCCGCATGCTTTGTGAATGCCACTGCACGCTCTTCAACCTTTTTTTCGTTTCCGTCCTTGGCGGCTTCAATTAAATCAAACAATGGGGTTGTCGTCTCTAAGAATGAATCAGAGACGTGATCAACGACCGCTTTGCGCAGTTGACGACGCAAATCCCGAGTCTTTTGGCACATTTGATTGATGGCCATATCCAAAGTTGAGCTCTTCTCCTTTTGACCCATCTAGAAATCAACGAAAATGCATATGAGAAGATGAGTTTTGGGCAAATCATCAACTTGATTTGTTTTCTATTTTAAAATACAACTTTCGACAAACTAAAAAAAACTTACGTTTGACATGTATGCCGACAAAAGATCTTGCAAAGCCTGGCGTACAGCATTACATTCAGCAACAATTCGTTCACGACGCTCATCTCGAGTGCAATCTGCGTCGGCCATCAATGCGGCTGCACTGATGATGCTTTCCAATCGCTCTTCGAGCGTTGGACGAGAGCGCACTTCATTGTATGCCAATGGATCCATATTGATACCCTCCTGTAATTTCAAAACCAGTTCAATTTATTAGAAAAAAAACCTGCCTGAACATTCGACCTTTTCAAATATGACTTACATCAAAGTCGTCCAAAGCAGCAGCGAGTTCACCAGCACCGCTGTACATATCGATTGGTGCACTTGATTTGCCCTGTGCAACGTCACTGATTGTGTTAACGGCTTCGCACACTTGTCTCAACACTTGATCACGATTAATTTTGGCCAAATCCAATTCCGGGTGACGAACGTAGACCTTTGATGCTGTCAACAGCATGGTCGAGTGCTTCTTTAAAACGGCACGTGCAGCGGCCAAATCGTCACGCAATTGCGGATCCTTTAGTTCTTGTTGTCGTTTTGCTGCTTGTTTTATCAATTCGTTGGCATTTCGTCCAAATTGCTAAAAAGCGATCGGAAACAGTAAATCGATTAGGTTCCACCAAATAGAAGCAAACATATCCAGAAAAATGAATATCCACATAAAAACTGGGAGGGCAGTAGACTGATCCAAAAAAAAAAAGTTGTCCCTCATCTAAAAGGCCCGGGCAGTTTCGAAAAATTTACTTTTTTTTTGAGGTTATTTTATTTATGGCAATGTTATTTTTTCTCGAAAATATGTGGAGTCTACCCAGACAAAAACTCTCAAAGTTGACTTTTTAAGGTACCTCCCGAACAAAACTTACGTTTTTTATGGATTTTACTATGAAAATATCAATTTTTGTTCGGGAGGTACCCATCCCAACCTCATCCCAACCTCATCCCAACCTCATCATCAGTTTTTGCCGAAATTTGGTTAGAATACTGGAATCGGTCGAAATGTTGCGATCTAAAATGACTTCCGAAATCGCTGTCATGAAAATTTTGATATGGGGCTTGCCATGGGTTTTAATATGGTACCCATATGCAATCTTTGCGCCAAACCTATTTTTTTGAGGTATATTTTTCGAAACTGCCCGGGCCTTTTAGATGAGGGACAACTTTTTTTTCTTGGGTCAGTCTAGAGGGCAGTAATAAACATTTACTCACTCGCATATTATTCAAGAGCTCATCTTGGCTGGATGCATTTCGTAGCTTGTTCAAATCATCTTGAACCACATGCAATGATTTCAACAGTAGATGCACATCGACCATATCGGCCAAAACGAGCAAACGCGTTACAGCTGATAGAAGATTACGTGCGGCTCGAACCATATTTCCGCGTCGCAATGAACTACATGGATCTTCCGAAAATTCACGAGCTGCTGTTCGCATAATTTCACCCGTCTTTCGTACCTCCTCAACGGCCGTGAGCATCTCTTGTTTAATATCCGGGTTTTCATTGGCAATTTGTTCACCGCGTTCAATGAAATTCTCGGTCGCTTTTTCCACCGCCAAAACCAATACACTTGCACGCTTGGATTTACCTAATAAATTTGAATGAAAAGGGAGAGAGAAAAAAAAAATATCATGAAATACTATTGCATTTTTTTTTATTGCAAATAAATGTGCAATGAAAAAACCGCAGATATTTTTTTTCTATCTCTCTGAGTCGTTGACCTATCTCACTTGAAATGTCTTAATGTCACACACTCATTGAGTTGATGTGAGAAAACCATTGTGTTTGAGTGCAGAAAAAAGAGCAATTTTTTATGATTGCGAATTGCGAATGCTGAAGAAAGCAAAGTCATTAAATCTGCACAATGTTTTCGTTAGAACGTTTCATTTATTGCATAGTAAAAAAGAAACCGATGTGCACTGAGTAATTGATAAAGTGTTTGTAAACTAAATGGAATTTAATGTATTTTTTTTAATATTTCACTGAATAGCACACACGCACACAGATCGAGAGAGGAAATGGTTCAATGGCCAATGCTTTCGTTTCACAATTTTTTTTTATATCTAAAGCAAACACAGTTCAATTTATTTTGAATGTAATTAACCGACCTTTCTTCTTTTTGCTGGGTCCTTTTGTGTTGACCAATGTTGTAACTTGCAACACAAGTGGCTCAAGTGTTTTCTCCACCGACATCGTACGAATTTCCAAATTTTTCGGATCCCATTTTAGCGAAAGCGTACCAAAATCACCAATCGTACCCATGTTTTATTGGTTTGATCTGTTTTATACCGATTTTTCGTTGAAAATTTTCTTTGAAACCAAAATTGAAAGCAAAAAGAAAACCTAAAATAATGCTAGGTTTCTTTTTTATTCACTTAAATTTGCAGTCTGTATACACAATAACACAAAATTGTTTGGCGATGACTAACGCGAACGCCGTTTGACATGTAAAAGCAGAAAAAAAGTACACACAATGGAGTCAACAACGATGGCTAGATGCACCTTCTACTCTCTACTACTCGTTTGAAGGTGTGTGAATAGGTTTCTTTTTTTTTCGTTCCTGTTCGTATTTGTTCATATGGTAGTTGAGACGCAGCAGCACTTGATTTTATTACTCATTGGATGTTTTCACACACACACACATGAGCTCACAACATGAATCAAATTCAATTGAATGAAATTTATTTGCATTGGTTGAAAATCGGATTATTTTTTTTACATTTGCACTAAAAATTAAATTGACTGGGTTAATAAATAAATTTTTAAGCAGCAAAAGGAAGGAAAACTATTGTTTTGCTGTTGAATGGGCGTAAAAATTCACTGAGCACTTTGAATCTATTGGTGTTTTGTTTTTTCTAGCAGTAGTGCCGCTGAAAATTTCTGATTTCGAACATTTGTATACCACAAATACATACGCATACCAACGCACACAAACAACGCTCTCTTTTGACAACACAGACAAACTGACATAACTGCCCAATCGCACAGTGTCGTGAAAGTGAACGATTTTTATGTGTATGCGCAAACATACATATACACAGGCAGAGAGATAAAGACAGACAAGTATTGCCTGATGTATTGATTGGTCTGCCTTCGGACTTGTACCAACTTCGGAACGCAATAATATATTTCTTTGTTCTGACAGATATCGAATGCTTTCATTCAATCAAGATATTTATTGAACGAAAAATCAAGGTTTAAAAAGGTCTTAAACTTCTGAAAATATCGTGAACAAACGGCGTATGTATATGAAAAAGATAGTAGTTACTATGAATATTGAAACCAGTGAATTTACGTATATAGATCCTGATATTATTGTATTTTCTACAGATCAATATGAGTGAGAAGGAGTTGCACGAAGAATATTTGAAATATCAACGATTGAAAACTATGAAGAATCCATTCGAAATCGGAAGTGAAGATTGGCTCAAGTGGCGTAGAGATTGGCTTCAATCGACTTCTGAAAATGTTGCGAGGGCAAGCGCATTGGACAGAGAGCTCTCGAAATGTGACCCAGTTGACCCTGCTGTTATTGCAGCTGCGATAGAACCGATGCGAAAAGCTATGGCTGAAGAACGCAAAAATCTTGAGCAGAAGATACAGCAGTTGGTTAAAGGTAAGAATTGTTTATTTTTCGATTTGCACTTGAATTCTATTCAAATATGCTTCGTTCCAGACCATCAGACCGGGCGCCATGGAAATGGAGTCGAAAATGGAGCCGCTCAAATGGAAATCGTATCTGAAAACAATAAAACTTAAAATTAAATAATTCAAGTGCATAAAACAATTGAGTTTATTTAAATCATGTGAAACAATTTGTTTAATGCTAATACAAAAGAATTGAAATCAGTTTTGTTGTTTTTCTTCGTTTGCAGTCCGAATAAATTAAAGCATTTTGGTGGATTTGATTAAATCATGCACCCTGATTCTGGTCTCTCAAATAAGCATATTGGCCTTCAATTCTGTAAATTCGTAATTGGATGCACAATAATGAAAGTTTCAACTTCAAATAAGTACTCCATTTTGAAATACTTACCCACTTTTCGTACGAGCCAACCAATGAAGTTCAAAAAGATCTATATATTTGTCTGCTTGTATTGCACACATCGAGTGGGCCAATTTGAGCAAAACATCAGCTTTGGGTATTGCAGCTATGTGTTGCTCCATGACAACAATTTCGTTCTTCGCCTCATTTACCAATTGTTCAGTCGTTCCAATCAAAAAAATTTTGTCTGGCTTCCACATACAAAACCCACATTTTGATTGATCTGTATGCACTTCATCTATCACACACTTGAAATGCAAAATATTGGAACATCGTCGACAATTGAAAGAGTAATCCCACGCTAGCCGAGAAGCGGATAGACCCCCACATGGGCAAAATATAGCCGCAGCAGCCATTAGTTGAGCCATTGAACTTAAAGGAATTTTGTTGCTAGCGTTTATCCGTTTTTTTAGAAATCACACCTCTTGACCGTTTGACAGTTGAACACCACATTGTTCTACGCTCGAATATAGTTGTTGTAATTTAAAAACCTTATAAATGTGGTTCTGTCGAAACCTTTCAAACAAAGAAGAATTTCAAATTTTCACCAGTACAAATAAAATTCTGGTTTCAGTTTTCAAATGAATATTAAAGTGTCGAAATTTCAAAATAAATAGAAGACTGCATTTCAACTAAATCCATTTTGATGTTAACATCAAAATATACAATATAAATTCATCCATCCAAATGTTTTATATTGAATTTAATCTCATACTAATTGTTATAATAAATAATATCAATTGAACGGTATTTGAAATCGATTCAAATATGTTTCGTTTCAGATATTGAGCAAAAGATACAGCAGTAGGTTAAAGGTAAGTATTGTTTATTTTTCGATCTGCACTTGAATTCGATTCAAGTATGTTTCATTACAGACAATCAGACCATGTGCCATGGAAATGAAGTCGAGAGTAGAACCGAATCTCCAGCTCAAATGGAAATGGAACCTGAAAATGATAACATCAAAAATTAAATAATTCAAGTGCTCAATGAAGCAGCGGACTTGTCAGCACACTTGTGGACTTAGCATTTCACTTGCTTTGGCGATTCGTGAGTTGCCGAAGCATCATATATGCAGTGCACTCGATATTTAACGTGAAAACCTATATTCGGTACATCGAAGTCGGCCGAGGTATGATTTCGTTTGCGCGTCGCGTAAGCAATTCACTTGCGATATA